GCTCCTGCTGCTGCTGCTGCTGTTGCTGGTTGTCTTTCTGCTGCTGCTCTTTGTGCTGCTGCTGCCTCAGATGCCTCGCTAGGTCGTTGCTTCTCTTCTTCTCTTTTTGTTGTTTCCTTATCTGCTGCTGCTGCTTCTGTTGCTGCTGCTTCTGCTGCTGCTTCTGCTGCTGCTTCTTCTGCTGCTGCTTCTTCTGCTGCTGCTTCTGCTGCTGCTGCTTCTGCTGCTGCTGCAGCAGCGTCTGCAGCAACTGCAGCAGCAGCCTCTTTATGGGGTCCTTTTGATTCTTCTTCTGTGCAAGACACCGCCTCGTTTGCTTCGCTCTGCTGCTGCTGCTGCTGCCGCTGCTGCTGCTGCTGCTTCTGTTTCTGCTGCTGCTGCCGTTGCTGCCGCTGCTGCTGTTGCTGCTGCTGCTGCTGCTGCTGCTGCTGCGCTGCCGAAGAGGAAGAATCCCCAGTCTGCTTCTCCTGCTGCTCTGCACTTGCTGCTGCAGCAGCTGATGCTGCTGCTGCTCCTGCTGCTGCTGCTGCTGTTGCTGCTGCTGCTGCTGTTGAATCCCTTGCCTCTTGTTTAGTTCTAGCAGCCGCTGCTGTCTGCCCTTTCTTGTGTTTACCGCTTCTGCTTTTGCTGCTGCTGCTGCTGCTGCCGTGCTGCTGCTGCTGCTGCTGCTGCTGCTGCTGCTTAGTTGCAGAGTTTGCTGCTGCAGGGGGCGGAGGTATATCTGCTTCCGTTATAAACTCAAAAGGAAGACGAAGACAGCCAGCAGCATCTGCTGCTTCATATAAAGCAGTTAGTGCAGCACGAGCATCAGGAATACTCACACTGCTGCTGCTGCTGCTGCTGCTGCTGCTGCTGCTGCTGCTGCTGCTGCTGCTGTTGTTGTTCTTGTTGCTACTTTTACTGCTGCTGCTGCTGCTGCTGCTCTGCTTCCCGCTGCTGCTGCTCTTCTTCCCGCTGCTGCTGCTCTCCTTCCCGCTGCTCTCCTTGCTGCTGCTCTCCTTCCCGCTGCTGCTGCTGCTGCTGCTGCTGCTGCTGCTGCTGC